TCCATTGAGCATAACCTTGCGCTGTGAGCAACACGTCCTTGTTGCCGTCAAGGCTGGCGACAGGGAGTAGGGGTCACATGACCTTGCAGCACTGACATCAACCGTTTTTCACGGCCTCTCCTGCGCATGTCCAGACTGCATCTCGGTTGCGCTGGCTTTTGGCCGACAAGCCTGTTATGAGTGGGCAGAGATGGAAAACGGCCGTGTTTGGACCCTCGAAATGCCGTGCTGAGGAATCTGCTTGGCCGGTTATTCCCAGCTGAAAACGATACAGGTCAGGTTCTTTCTAGAATGTTCTTTGTGTCTGTCTACAGTCCAGCTGTGCTTGCAGAGGGCCATACCTGTGCTACTGTTGAAGACATCAAAGGCGTCATGTCTGAGTGAGTACCAGGCTGCAGTGAATGCATACCAGGGGTGGACATGCAAAAACTAAAACAGCCCAGGAATTTGGGGAGTGGGTTCCCCTTGGTATATTTTGCTGCTGACCGGGGGGGGGGGGTTCCTTTGGTATATTTGGATGATTGTCATCAACCAGTTGGCCATCAATGAAATAAAATGATTAAATAAAGCATTCTCTGTTAACCATCTCCTTCGATCAACTTGGAAACATGTCAAGATCGATGGACGGGTTGGACACCCCTAGTATATAGGTATATAACGCTGGGGTTGGAAAGAAAGACCACCAGGAAAATCCCTGAGCTTCCTGATGGCCAGTCCGTGCCTGATGCATGGAGATACTGGTAATGGGGTAACAGCATCGATCTGGACTCTCTAGACTCCTTCAGAGTTTGTTTTCCAACTTAAGAGATCAGTGGGCAATGCTGTCCCTCAACCCCTGGACAAGAGAAACATCTCTGTTCACACAACGTAGGACTAGATCTAAGCTTTTAGCACCATGGTGCCAGAACGGCTGGCAGGCAAACTCAGGGAACTGCGCCTTCAAAATGGTTTTCTCAACATCAGAAAGACATTTTTTTCTAATCATTGGTTTTAGGAGGCTTTAACGTTATATTGTGACTGCACTTTAAATACGTAGATACAACTACATTCTGATATCAGAAGAAGGCACTGCAGACTGGAACTGCAATGAATTCTGTGCCCACATTAACTTTCCTGCTGGGTTTTGCAAGTTTTTTTTTATATAATGTGTTTTGGGTCAAGAGGAATGTAATTGTGTAAAATCCTGGCAAAGTGCAGCTGTTTTCATGAACTGCTGGCACTGCCTGAGTCCTTCAGGAAAAAAAAATAGAAAAAAAACTTACAAGGAGATCCAGCCATGGCTGGATGCCTACTGTTGCCCCTTATTCTGACAATTGCTGTTTAGTGCCTGTGATTAAACTTTTAAAGAATCGTGCTCACATTGGCTATGTGCCCATCGCAGCATCCACTATGCCATTAAACATGGAAGGCAAGAGAGATTAAGCAGCTGTCATCAGAAACGGGAATTACTGATGGAGGGCTGACCGCTGTTTCAGCTACGTAAGGGGCCAATCAGATCGAATCCCGAAAAAACGGGGGATGCATTACATTTTTAGCTAAATGCCTACTGACACCAGGATTGCAAAAGGATCACTCATCATCCTTGCACTTCTCCTCGGGGACGATGTCACATTGGAACTTCTCTGATGGATGCATTAGACGGTGACAAAACAGGAAGAACGGGACAGATGGCACAGGATTGGGCGCAGCTTGGGACAGACGGGACCCCGGGTGAGGCAGCCAAACAGTCCATAGAGATGCTCCTGACTCAACTCACACTCATTTTCAAAACGGGAGGTGCATGAGACGTCATTGGTGCCCTGCTCTTTTGTGGAGGAATTAATGGGTGTGGTGGGTGTGGCAAAGCCCTTGGTTCATGGAGCCTTGTTAAACTACTTTTACTATAAGTTCAACTACTTATCCAGCGGAACAGTGTTTCCCAATCCAGTCCTTGGGGACCTGCATTGCTTCAACGTTCTCTTGTCCTGTCATTCCCTGTGGTCGAGCCACGTTCGCCGTGCCGCTGCGTGGGCGCGACTGCGAATGTGTCCTGGCAGCTTGCTGCCCTGTACGCATGACGTGGCAACACCCACAGTCCACCAGGCCAAGGCCGTGACTTAACCGTGCCCCTCCGCGTTGCTAGAGGAAATCCGTAAGCCACCCCCGGTGTATGACATCAGAGCCATCGATCCATCTTGCCCTAGTGCGTGTCTGTTTATCTTACTGGATTGTTCCACCCAGACTACCTAAATGCCATGTTGCCTATGGTGCTGATGAGGGGTATATACAGGGGCGGGGCCAAAGAAGCCCCGGCCCCAACCGAAAGCTGATTGGCTCCCAGAGTGCCTAATCCCCTGTCACAGAGGCTGTAAGAATTATGGGCCTTCTTATGTCCTCCACCTTAAAAAATCCTAGAATTGCCCTGATGCAGACATAATGCAAGATGCAATATTGGTTCCATTGATACTATTCAAACTATGTCTAGACTGGCATATTGCCCACAAGCTGAGTGAGTTCCTTGTGCTGTAACCCTCCAGATGGTGTCTCAGGCAACCGAAGAGTTCTAGGAATGAATGTCTGGGCTACTGAGTCTAAGACACTGCATGCCATATACTTTTGGCAGTGTACATGTGCAGTGCCACGTGCACACACACATGCATCCTGTTGCTGTAACAACCCTGTGTGACGTGAGCCAGGAACCACCAGTGAGCGTGTGCCTGAGCTGCTTCTCGGCCCTCGTTGAGCGTACTCACTAGATGGTGGAACATGCAAATTTCGTGCCAGTAAATGGCCATTGAGAAATTTAACTATACTGGCCATACCTTTAATCTTAAATAAACAGTTTAATAGCTGCTATTATAGGCTAACCACAAAACCCAACCCCGCCCCCCCAGCCCAGCACACCTACTTATTGCTGTGAGAATGAAAATCATACTATGAGGGAAGAAAAAAACGGACACATGGGTTCTGGAAGTTTCCACAAGAAGGCTAAATTAGATTTTTTTTCAAAGCTCTCACTGCAATGTGGAAGGGCTCATGGACACTTCATATTTTGGCAAAGTACAGAGCTAGAATTGCTGGGCCAGTGTTTGCTTTTTCCCAGGATACCTTGCGGCAGAGTGGAGGAAGCTGACCAAACAGTGATGGGATCAAACTGACATTAATATCACATTTTTGTTAGAAAAAATCTGAAAATGGAGTGAGCCATCATCCAGCCTACTCTCCCGTAGGGCAGTTAGGATTCAGGGGCCTCTCTCAAGAACCCTATGGGGAAATTACTCTGCCAGCAATGGGATTTGAATCCACAACCTCCCGGACACATAGATTGATGTAGTGTCTGTCTAGCAGCCTGATTGTCCTATCTCAGTTCTGGATCGGTGTTCTCACACTCACACACGTGCACCCATCTGCCTCCCTTTTTGCCTCCTCGCCCCAGCTGGCCTCTCGGAAATGGCACAATGTTCAGGGTCTGTTTAAAAACAGGAGAGATTTTAACGGTCCCAGTCTGCTCCCACTGGTCCCTCTGACCACCATAATTACTCGCGACGACTCAGCCCCGGCCGTCCTTACTCTCTCCTGACAGGCCTTGTCTCCCTTTTGTTGGTTCCATGTCTGTCTTTCTCTCCAACTCCCTGACATGCTTTGTGCCCTTTGCCAGCCCTGCCGGAGGCGGTCCTGGCCGGCGCCCAGACATCACGCTCTCCGGCCTTTCCCAGTGTGGTGCTGTGCCCCAGTCCATCAGACCACCTTAGGGGCAGGATCCTTAGGCTTCCGGAACGTCCCGTCCGGAAGCGGCCCACGCTTCCCTGGGTTTTGCCAGGCCGGGCGAGGGGGCATGTGGTGGACGCGACCCCCTCATGGTAGCCATCTGAATATACCTTCTGGCTCATCCCACAAGGGACCACCCCCTGCTATCACCCCAAGCTGCAGTCTTTGTTTTAAATCATCAGTGTTAGACAGGAAATAATTAGTGAACGTGTATGAGCGACTCTGGGGTGTTTGTGCACACAGTTGTATACTAATCTGTACTGCTAGTGTTTAACTGGCTTTGTATGCTAACTCAGAATTCAGACTATCTTTGAGGAGGACAGTCATCTTTCTCCCTCCTGACTTGACATTTGTCAATCCTTTTTTCCCCACACTTTCTCTCTCTTCCTGGCCCTGCCCCCCATGCGATGGAGCCGCAATTAAGCTGCGGTCACAGTTTATGGTTAGACTGCTGAGCCCCCCCCCCCCCCACCCCACCTCAGCCCCTGCAGAAATCTGCTTTAACCGCTGATTATCATAGCGGGCTGCTGCAGCCTCGACCACAGAGGGCGCCGATTCAGCCATATACCTCCAGAATGAATAAAGGGAGGAATTGGGAAAACATCCAGTAAGAGCTGAAACTCCTGATCTGTCCGGCTCTGAGAGTCGTAAACCCGCCGGCCCGTGACAGCCACTGCATGTGCATGTGTGTGTGTGTGTGTGTGTGTGTGTGTGTGTGCGCCAGGGCCGACGGAAGCTTCTGGCATTCCAGGGGGATTAACCATCAGACCTGTCTAACACCGATGGTACGGCTTTATGTAACAAACCAACCGTCTTCCTGCTAGAGGACCAGGGGGGAGGCGACAAGCTCTGTCCTGATCGGCAGGATAGAGAGCAGGACATAGGCAGCTCTGGGGGTGCTGGATCAAGGCAGGGGGGTGCACTGCCCTTATTTGGTATTCAATTTTCCCTCTTGGTTCATTTGGGTTTGCTCTGCACTGGGAATAGACAAAAGCAGAGAAACTCTCTCTCTCTCTCTCCCTCCCTCTCCCTCCCTCCCTCCCTCCTTCTCCCACGCTTACACTCACGGTTGCACAAACACAAACACTAAGCCTCGCCCAAGTCTTTTCTTTCCCTTCTTTTTTCTGTCATTTCCCTCAACTTCCGCTCCGACGCTCCGGCTCCGACGGCACTGTCCTGGTCTCCGCTGCTGCTGCGGAACGCCAGCGGACGCTATCCCCCAACACCCCCCCCCCCCACCCACCCGTCGCCCGCTCCCGAAAAGTGGACTTTGGGTGAGTTTGCTACTTGGATGCCCAGATGCTGAGGGTCTGAGGGATGTGGTGCTGATGGCAGGGTGGGTGGCGTGAGTGATGGCTGGGGGCATTCAGGTGGAGGATTGGAGATTGACGGAGGCTCGAACCAGGATGGAACGGTGTCGGGGGTGGGGAATATAACCGGGGGTGGGGGCAGCAGCTGGATGCACAGATAGCAGCAGGGTTTTGGGGAATGTGCGTACTGTGTTCTCATCTGTGGGGAGCGAGATGCATCTATTTACAGAGCTGCTGGCCCCCAGTTCGCCCTCTGGGTTTCTGCTGTCTTTGGTCCCACTTTTTTTTGTTACACTTTTTCGTTTTAGCCCTCAACGGGAGCACCTCTAGGTGAGTGCAACACTGTGCATGCAGTTAGTGAAGCCTTCAGTGAAGCTAGTCAGCTGGTTAAGCAGTGGTTCATTAATTACAGCAAATTTCAGTGGAGAGTGCTGCCTCTGTGTTGATGCACCCTCTCTGCGTTGATGCAGTGTCTCTGTGTTGAATTGGTGTCTCTGTGTTGAAGCCTCTATTCTGTGTTGATGCACCATCTCTGTATTGATGTGCCATCTCTATTGTGATGTTGTGTCTCTGTGTTAATTCCCTGTCTCTGTGTTGATGTTGTGCCTCTGTGTTAATTCCCTGTCTCTGTGTTGATGCCCCATCTCTGTGCTAATGCCGCGTCTCTGTGCTAATGCCCCGTCTCTGTGCTGATGCCTCTTCTCTGTGTTGATGCGCCTTCTCTGTGTTGATGCCCCATCTCTGTGCTGATGCACCATCTCTGTGATGATGCCTTATCTCTGTCTTAATGCCCCCTCTCTATGTTGATGCACCATCTCAATGTTGATACCTGGTCTCTGTCATGATGCCCTATCTCTGTGTTGATATTGCATTCCCTGTCTCTGTGCCGATACCCTGTCTCTGTGATGATGTCCTATCTGTCTTGATTAATCATCTCTGTATTGATGTGCCACATCTATATTGATATTGTGTCTCTGTGCTAATTCCCTGTCTCTGTGTTGATGCACTGTCTCTATGTTGATGCCACATCTCTGTGTTGTTGTGCTATCTCTTTGTTGATTTCCCTATCTCTGTGTTGATGTTGCATCTCTGTGTTAATTCCCTGTCTCTGTGCTGATGCCCTGTCTCTGTGATACTGCCCCATCTCTGTGTTAATTCCCTGTGTCTGTACTGATGCCCTGTCTCTGTGTTGATGTGCCATCTCCCTGTTGATATTGTGTCTCTGTGTTAATTCCCTGTCTCCTGTGCTGATGCCCTGTCTCTGTGGTACTGCACCATCTCTGTGTTGATGCCTCGTGTCTGTGTTGATGCCCCGTCTCTGTGTTAATTCCCTGTCTCTGTGCTGATGTCCTGTCTCTTTACTGATGCGGGTGGTTCGGATTTGACACTGGGGCTGTGAGAATCAGTACTGTCAGTGTGAGACTTTTCCATTTTGCCCATCTGTGCAGTGGTTTCTCTAACTTGTGTCCATGGGTGTGAGACTTCCGAATGCTGGGAAAACAGCCCTGGTATATATCAGGCACGTTGGAGCGTCAGGCAGTGAAATAAACCCTGAGCCACTGTCCGACGTTTCTGTTAAAGTGTCTCTGGAGAGCCAGCTTCACTGATCCAGGTCCAGGTTCCCAGGGGCATATACTGTACTGGGGCAGGGCCAGAGGGGTACTGGCCTGAACTGCAAGCTGATTGGCCCCTGAAGTCTTCCCTCCCATCTCTCACCGATTCAAAATATATCATTGGCTAATAATAGGTTGGCTCCACTATATGAATTATAACCCCATTTTTTCCCACCACCATAAAAACTCCTACAATCACCCCTGCTGTTTCCAGAGTATCTTCAGTGGGGAGGGGCAGCTGCTGGTTGATACACGCTGGAGGTGGGGTCAGTGTTCCCCCGTGTCCTTTGGGAGCTGCCTGGTTGGGCGTCAGTTGGAATTGTAGGACAGACACCACCCCCGACTCCAAACCAGACCAGTTCATTCAAAGGTCCCTCTTAATTAGAATTTTTCTTTCCTCACAGGCTTTTAATTGGCTGTTAGTTGGTTTAGGGTCCTGTGAGCTAAGGCATGCTCTGCAGTCCGTGTTCGGTTATTATATAAAGTGTATGCCAGCCCCCGGCGTCATTCAGCTCTGTGAACTGCCAATACGCGATATGCAGAAACCACTGTGATCTCTTATCACAGTGCTATGGTCATCCAACAAATGAGTGTAAGTAGGATTACAAACAGAATTATATTACCCTACATCTGATGTATAAGGATGTGAACCTGAGAGTAGCCATGCAGTGGGTGGAACCTCAGCACCACACGAGTCCGAATGGAACTGTGCGAGTTTTTTCCAGTGGCTGGAGAGCCAATCCTGCCACCAACCCACAAATTTTCCTGCAGTTTGGAGGACCTGCTTGCAGGGCCAGATGTACATTAACGTGATACCCAGGATGAAGTAATTGCAGGTTATGGGCCTTGCTCAAGGTCCCAATGGAGTAGAATTACTCTGGGCATTCATGGGATTCAAACTGGCAACCTTCAGATCCCGAGCCTCAGAGCCGCCACTCCGCCCAGATAGTTATAGTTATGTAGAATATGTCATGAATATAAAAATAAACGAACAACCAAATTAATAAATATATACACACATAATTTATGTACTATGTAATATATTTTGGCCATTGTAAGCTGGGCGGTGCGGTAGCACAGTGGTTAGCATTGTTGCTTCACACCTCTGGGACCAGGGTTCGAGTTTCTGCCCTGGGTTCACGTGTATAGAGTTTGAATGATCTCTCCATGTTGTCATTGGGTTTCTCCCACAGTCCAAAAACATGCTAAGGTTAATTAGGTTTGCTAAACTCCCTATATGTGTGAATGGTGAAACTGCCCTGTGATGGGCTGGCGCCCCATTCTGGGTTATTACCTGCCTTCAACCTGTAGCTACTAGGATAGGCTCCACAACTCTGCATAGGACAAGTGAGTATGAAAGACAGACACAAAATATATTCTGAAAGGCTTTTAATGTGTAGATTTCCAGTAATTGCTCCTAATTATTTTCTTGATGTCTGCAGTCACTAAATATCTGTACCGTACCTTTGTATAACTAGTATATTATGCTTTGTCGATTTCTTTATACTAGCATTATACCTTATAATACCTACTGATATTAAGTTATGTTCAGAATCCTGCATGCGTATTTCTTAACGCTGTACAGTACATGATCTTATGCAATTCTGTCAATTTCTGTATCACCCTTGAGTTGGCAAACTTTTATGGTGGTGAGGTGTTTGCCATCTTCAGTCATCCTTATATCTTCTTCAGTTTTACTCCTGAGTGGCTTTGACAGTTTGTTTCGGTTCATTCGGCTGCCTGTTCTTCTGATCCAGCTTACCGTGTTTGTTATGCACTCAGGCCCTAGAATGTGCATCAATTCAGTCTTCAGACGTAACGGTTTTGACTCGTGTCAAAATAAAAGTGCTGCTCAACTATGGACTGTTGTCTTAACTGATTTGCCATAAATCCACCAGTACACGTACTTTGAAGATTTAAAGTCAGCATGATGTCTTTATGAGTCAAGAGCCGCGCCGATATCGCTGATATCTGTGAAGTCACCGGAGAACTTCACAGTTATGCTACATCATTCTGAGACATCAAGAATAAACAACCTGTGATGTGGATAACAGAAAGCTTACTGTCTGTTATCTGTTAAGTGTCTGGCAAATATCTGATTGGTTACTAAGTCATGGGGGGGGGGGGGGGGGGGGGGGGGAGGGGGTGTCAGATGTCAGAGAGGTGCATGACACAACAGAAACAGGACCTGCACGAAGGCAACATATATCATGCAGCATGATGAATATGCTGTCCAGAGGCCGGGGTTTTGCATCCACAAACTAGTTTCTATTATAATCATAAGAATTTGAAGTGGTGCAAACTGACTATGGCACTTTAAACCATTTTAGATTAAATACTATTTATCCAGCGAAGCACAATTATGTGACAGAATCACCGCTAATGTGACTGATACTTTCCCAATACTTTGAAAGACAAATGCCAAAGATGAATCATGAAAATCAGTTTAAGGCATGCGTTCAGGTTGCTGCAGCCAATGCATCCATGGTGAGATGGCCAGGGGGCGGGGGAGGGAAGCTTTAATGGGACTTCGATTTTTGGATTAACGAGAATTGAGCGAGAAAAGGGTTGAGACGGGATGCCTTCCTGATGAACTTGGAAACTAAGAGAAATAAGTGGGCGGATCTGTCAAGAATGAAAGGAATTGATTGTGTGGCTCTTGGGATTGTGTTGCGTGTCTGCTCCAAGTTATTGGCCTGGGAAGTTGGGAATAAACACTGATTTATATCATTTAAAAATGAGGGACTGGTGGCTCTAAACATCCCTCTGCACTTCCCCTTCTGGGACTGTTGTTGTCAGTGATCATTGTTCCTTCAGTGTTTACCGAGGGCATCACCCGTAAAATAGCAGCATACAGATTCAGACAGGTAACAGGTAGCAGGTCGATGGTAGTAGGCAAACAGAAGGATTGTGAATATCCAGGCCTCTGAGATGGGATGCAAGAGCCTGACCTGCTTCAACAAGTCCAAGCGTGTCCAGTTTGTCACAAATCGATTGCGTCGGCTTCTTTACATGGCGTGCACTACGGAAATGATGAAATAATGACGTTAATCACTGCAAGGCGATTGAAGCCCCCTTCATTTCAGGAGGCTCCCTTTTGGCAATTAACGAAATTAAAATGTCTCTCAGCATCCAGCCCTGTCCAGTGCATTGCTGTGATTAATGATATCTTATTAGTGAAAATAATCGGCAACATCACTGGGATGGACTGGGTTCAGGGTGTTTCCCTGCAATGTGCCCAAGTGCAACCTGGGATAGGCTCCGGGTTTCCAGTGACCCTGAGCATGATTAGCGTTTGTAAAGTGGGGGACAATAAAACTAACCACCTGCACTCAGGCCTAATGCCCCCCCCCCCCCTCACATACATTTATTACTATATTGCTGTAATGACTGGACAGGGAGAGAATCCATGTGCACGAACTTCAGGTTTATTTCAAGGCTCGTGGTCCAAAGGCAAGTAGAAGGCCGAAAGCCGGGCAGAAGCCAACGAAGGCAAGCCGGTCCGAATTGTGATCCAAATCCATGGTGCAACACGCCTGTGAGGAGCTGAGGCAATGAATACAGGGGATGGTGTGCGGCTAAACCGGTTTGGGTGCAGTGCCTGTGATCAGAAGTTTGCCAGGTCAAATCCCAGGTTCGGCAGATGGATTTCACTGTCAGGCCCTTGAGCAAGGCCTGTAACCCCAGTTACTCCAGGGACTGGCTTTACTCTTTCTGCTTTCTTAATTGTATGTCACTTTGGATAAAAAGCACCTGCAAAATAATAATAAATGTAAAATGCTAGAGGAATGGCAAGACAGCAAACAGGAGTCATACACAGAAAGCCAGTCGTGAAACAAATACTCAGTATATATATATATAACACTCTGTACACAAGGAGGGACCTGGAAACAGGTGCTTTAATTAGTGGTAATTGGTTAAGTTGTTGAGTTACAGGTGTGCCTGGTTTTCAGCGGAGGCTGGGTGTGGCTGGCTGGATGCTTGGTATGGTGCAGGTGTGACGGTTGCTTTGGGTGTTTTTTTGGCTGATGTTCCTGCGCTTCTTCTCTGCCTCCATCATTCTTGTGCTTTAGGGACTTTAAATATTAATGCGCAGCTGTGAGCCGAAGCCGAGCGTCAGACACCGAGGATGCGGGCGAGTGTGCAGCTCCAGTGGCGTCCGGGACAAAGGGTTACGTGTGGGAATACAGCCGTCACCGCCAAGAGCGTTTGAGCTGACCGGCGGCATTTTGTGGTCCGTGGTGGGAGGAACGAATTTGGCCCACAAACACACGACGTCTGACCTGGAGGTGCTCAGCGCCGACACTAGCGGTGAGGCTCGCCGTTTTCGACGAGGAGCTCTCCTAAACCTCCGGCGGGTGGGGCTCTTACCTCTGAACCAGCATGCAGTTTGCACTATTTTCCGGGGGACTGGAGAACATTTGGAAATCTAATCCCAGTGCGGATTTGTGTGATGAAGCGAGTTTCGATCTTGCGGTAACAGGTGTGTGTTTGTTTCTAAATCGAGGGGAAATCCGACTGACATTACACAGTGGCTGCTTTAGTTAGCATAACACTTATTGGCCATTTGGAAGTGTTTGACTGTGTTGACTTGCTCTGTATTTGTTTATGGGATTTTGCGGTTTCATATTTGGTTTCAGTTCTCCCACACATCAGTCATTTACACCTGTTCAGTGAATTGTTTAATTGTTCGGTTGTAGGGTGGGGTGCAGTTAACAACCACAGGAAAGCTTGGGTGAAGAGAACCACATGATGTCTAATCTTCTTGACGGACTTGAATGTTTCTGCCAATGGTCCCTTTTCTGAGATGGACAGGGGAGAAATGGAAGCAGGACAAAAGACCACTGGGGTATGCAAACGGAGAAGTTAGGTTTCTGTGAGGAGAGAGGAACTACAGTGGAACAAATCAACATTAAATAACTGCGGCCACCTGTACTCTAACCAATTTAACTTTCCCTCCTTCTCAGAGAAGAGACATTTCCATTTATACATCTCCAAGGTGACTTACAGGTCAACACAAATAACGGCAGAATTAAGCCGTGGAGAAAAGCCATCAAAAAAAAGCACATAGTCAATGACTGCAGTGAGGATTACTGCGCTGCTAGTTCCATGGGATACTAAAATAGTACTTTATAATGACACAGTGTAAAATATAGAGGGCCAAAAAAGGCATGTACGACAGTTACAAGCACAGTTTAATGCATATGCAATACATTTCTTCAGAGGTCAAACCATGCAAATGTAAATAATTCCATAAAACAGGCAGCCACCCAAAGCTAACGACGTGTTCGTGCAAGAAGCAGCAACCGCAGCCTCTTAATCGCATTTGAGATGCAGTCAGGAGTTGAGCGATGAAGTTCAGTTTGAGGGGGATGAGTTCAGATTCTCTGCTTAGGAGTATGTCCTATAGTCCAACCACACTGGTGTAAACTTTGCAGATCGGGGACTGTAATGAATCATAACAGGCCTGAAGGCGAATAGGGTTCCACAAGGGGACCACACCTGTTTCAGGTGAGTCTTCTAGCTAAATTCTGGAATGTGAAACTTCGTTACCATGGTTATTTGGTCCCAGCTGTCTTACCTGTTGGATTTTTAATACACTTTCTTGACAATTTAGTTCTAGGAGTGTTTGGCCGATTGATGTATGTATGTCTGGAAGTTGTGCGTTTTTTTTTTTTATGTGATGAAGGAGTTTGAAGTGCCCGTTTGAACTGTGAATGTGTTTGGTAGTAGCGGTACGTGTACATGTTTGTGCGTGTGGGTGTGCGTGGTGCAGTGAGTGAGTAACAGAGTGTGGGTGTGTGTGGGTGGCCGGGAGCAGTGAGGGCTGTCAGCTGTGTTTTTGCGCTGCATCGGCCAGGACTTCACCGTACGGGCTGTTGGCTCTGCAGACTCCAATTCCTGTTCCAGGTGGGAAACTGAAGCACTTAAACGCACCGGTAGCATCCTGGGCACAACCCACCGGGCACAAGCATGATGTGGCATGCTCAGCTTCCTGAAAACTTCACCATGGTTGTGATAACCCTTCCTCAGCCTGCCCTAGAGGTTGGCGAGGACCCAGGCGGGCAGGATAGTCACCTAAATGGTGATGTGCACTGTGCAGCAGATGCTGCAGGCCAGACAGGAAGCTCCCAGGGGCTTGAGCTACCCAGGCAGCCAAGCCCCGCCCTCCCCACAGCTACAGACGAAGGTGAACTCGAGGTCTCTAAGGATAACGGCATACGTCGCTAACTGGGTAACAAGTCTGACTCTCCATGACAGCCAAAAGCTCTGTCACACCCAGAGATCTCCGATCAGGGCCCGGTTGTCCTAAATGTAAGCCCGTTGAGGGACTCACCATGGTGAGAAGGGGCAACGTAGGACCCAGACTTGTGCACTCAGCCCAGCTGTAACTGAATCTGATATTTCTATGGCCTTTGTTTGCTTCTCCCTGCCTCTCGCCTCCCTCCCTTCTTTCTCACTTTGCTCCTCTTCCTGGCTTAGCCGCAACTTTCAGCTCCAAGGTAATATCGTCTCCCTCCATCACTTTGCATTAGTAGGTCATTTTTTTTTCCTGTTCACCCATTACAGAAATGTAATCACTTTAGTTTTTTCAGGGTAAACATCTAAAGACTTTTTCCCCTTCTGTTTAATCCCTGGGAGGATTTTTCAGCGGCAGGTTACGAGCAGGTTGACATGATAAGAATGGACCCGTGAGAGACGGGGTCAAAGGCGTCATGCTTTTACTTCTCAGATTGGTTCTTTGATCCTGCCCTGCAATGTGAGGTCACAGCAGGTTTGTGCCATTTGGACCTGCCCCTTCAATTCAGCTGTGCAGAGAGGATCCGGCTTACATGAGTTTCGTGTTCTTCCTGGATCCCCGAGGGAGACCGTTTTGGGCAGCGCAGTCTTCCTGCCGCACCAGCATCCCATTTGCGCAAGTGGGTGGAAACCGTTAAGCTATGCAGGGTAATTTAGACAAGTGTGCCCCAAAACATGCGAGTGATGTTTCTTCATTCGCTGACTTTGATCGATATGCCTCGTTAGAGAGCCTGTAGGCCAACAACAAAGGAGAACACAGTTAACCGCATAAGTGACGCTGGCAGGAAACCGAATTATGGCGTTGGATCTCTTGCATCGCAGTGCTAATGAGATAATCGCACAACGGCAGAGTTTCTGATTAGTGAAGAGATAAGGCCTTGCCATCAGAGCTGCAGTCTGTAGCAAGGTGAGTCTGATGCTTAGCCTTTCTACACCATCAAATGTAGCTCTTTGCTGGACAGTGGTGCCACTGGAGTCAACAGTATCCCCAACTCTTCCCCCCTCTGTGCTCATTTATTCTTATAAAGGGAGTTGAGTTTAAAGGGCAGGGGTGGGCGGTCCTCTGCTGTTGTCATGCCGATAGGTGCTCTTCCATAATCTGTCTTGATTTATGGCTCCGTTAGAGGCCCTTCAGGCTGGCAGTCATGCCGCTCGCAGGGGGGTAGCGATTACTTGATTAAGCCCCTGGCTTCTTAATTAAACTATAATTCTATAGAACAAGCGGGATGCTGTGCAGTCTCCCCCAGCGGGAATTGGATGCCACGCTTGCGTACCGGGTGTCGTGGATGCCTCAAAGTTAACGCGATTACGATGATATCAAAAGGGGCCGCCAAGCAATCATCGCTCTTTTTCGGGTGGGAGGGGTGCATGAAGAGCACAGGTGGGGGGTGTGGGGGGGGTGTGCCCAGGAAGAGGAGGCAGACAGAATGTGCGAGAGCGGGGCCCGCGGCATTGTTTCCCCCGCTGAATGGCGCCTTTTATGAAGAGTGTTTAAAGGGACACCGAGTCACTATGGCAACCTTGCGGGAGCCCTCAGATGAGGGATAATGGAGCGAGAGGAGGTTCCCCCCTCTCGCCGAGTGCTCCTCCTTTGGCCGGAGCTCCTCAAAATCGCAGCCTGCCACGGCGCCTTTCCCAGAGCGCTCTGCCTCTGGGACAAGTTGGACGTCAGCGTGGGCTGACGGAGACCTCCTCTCTCATTCTTGCCTCGAAACCGGCCTCGCCGCTGCAGCACGTGCGGACAAACTTCCCCGACGGCTCCCGCCAACCCCAAACTCCGTCGTCTACCCGGAGTTGCGCCCCCCCCTCCCCGCCCCATGCCCCCACACCTCGGATGGGAGGAGATGTTATCCAAGGGTACCCTCGCAGCCTGTGACTCGTTTGTCTTTCTTGCAGAAGCGGCGTCGCCAAACCATGGTGCTGCCTCGCAGGCCACAAGCCCCGAGAATATGCAATGCGTAACGGTGAGTACCCCCTCCCCATGCTGTGCGTGTGCTGTGTGTGTGCCTGCGGTCGTGGGCGTCTCAGCATTCCTATACGTGTGCGATCGTGTTCCAGCGCCTGTGGGTTATGAGTGTGCGCCGCAGGATCGCTGCGCGCGTGCAAGTCGGAGTCAGCGGGGTGAGCGTGTGGATCCCCAGGAGCCTCTCTCCATGAATGTTTTGGACTTCTGTATCTGGGAGAGCTGCTGGGTACAGAACTGTGTTCACTGGAACTGTTCTCCCGTTCCTGACCTCTGCCTGATTTCTTGGGGGCAGGCAACGTTTCAAATTCCAGAATCTGGGGTCACCTCACTTCTCTGTGGTGGAGACGTCTGGGTGTCCTAACCAGAGCAATCAGATAGTTCCGTACTGCAAGACAGACCAGGAGAAGCAGACTATGAGGATCCTGCAGAGCATGCATTCATTTGGCTCTCATAGACCATAGTTATACCAGTAACTAGGGTCATTTTATTTTTGCCGTAAGGATATTGTACAGATGGTTCCAGTATAACACTGGTTAATGAACATATAACTCGGTGTCTTGTTAACCTGACAGAGTGTGAAGGAGGTCAGTTTGAATACCTGGGAAGTCTTGTACTCTGTAAGGTTTTTTGAATGGAGAACTTCCAAAACTTCCAAGTAGTCCAAGCTGGGCTGTTAACAAGCAGATAGACTAGAACATTTATCTGAGATATGGCTGGGGATGCTTTGGTCTTTAGTTGGATGGCGGGTGTTGGGTTTGGGAGATGCTGCATTAAAAGGCCCCTGGGGGGGGTGGGCGTACCGTCTCCATGCCGCTTTGGCTCTCCCCAACCTTCCTCCAATGGCCTCTGGTCTGCACAATTTGTACAGCCTGGTGGGAGGGGGGATATCGGGGTGGCGTGTGTGTTTATGATTGAAATCGATGCCACATGAGGGTTTTTGTTCAGTGGGCCTATTAAAGGCGACCGCTGAGGTGTGGCTGGGGGGAAGCTAATTTACCCAAAGCCCCGTCGATGTCTTCATTCTGTCTAGATGATAGAGCGTGACGGGCCGCTGTGCCGGCATCCAGCACTCGCACATGCCACCAAAAACAAGCCAAATACAGTCGCTAGGGCCGCTGTCACTGGCAGCCGCTGATCGCTGGCGGCTTCTGGACAGCGGCTTTGCACAGAGAAGGGTTGTCAGGGCTTCGGGTAACTCGAGTCTAGGCTGCATCACAGGAATGGGCTTTAAAAGCGGATATGAATGCCCTTTGTCAGAGGGGCCGTGTAGCTCGTGTCAGAAGTTAGCACGGCTGCTAACTTGCGTTAGCATGCTGCTAATCTCATTCGTAAAATTATGTCTTGAAACAAGATTGTTGCATTAATTTATCCACCATTTTAATCTTGCTTCTCCTGTGGACAGGCAAATTATAAAATGTGCTTTGCAACATCTTACTAGTTACAAATGCCCCTGGGCTGGATACGTTTTCATTTAACGGGTGGTTCTGAGTGCTGGAAATAACAGAGGAAATCTACTGTGCAGAAAACCCTGCTCTTTCCAAAGTCTGTGGTCAATTTTCTTGCCTCATGTCGGATCTGGCTTCCCATTCAGGTCAGGTGAGAATACATTGATTTCCATGTACCACTGTCCTGTAAGAGAGATGGGTCTGACAGGAATAGCTTACGTACTCTGTATGGGTATGTATGTACTTGCAGGCCTCCTGTCTCATAAGCATAAAAAATATGAATAAAACCAGGTAAATTGCTCCACTGATCCTGGCAGAGGCCTGTTAAAAGCCTGGTGCTCGACTGCTGGGAAGGAGCCAGTACTGTGACAGGGACCCTAACTGCATTCATGTCTGTCTTCTCTCCAATCCCGTTTTGCGTCCGCAGACTGCCAGAAAACGTGCATTATTGCGTTTGCTGTATCGGGTTTCACCAAGTCTCGTTCTCTGACACCGCTCAGCTCTGATGGGACTCCTCTGATGTTTTCGTTTCATCCCGCCCCCCCATTCTCACTTCCTCCGGCTGTTTCCGTGTTCTGCGTATCTGAGCTGAGCCTGGAGGAACATTTCCATAACAAGCTCTTTACCGGAGACGGCCTTCCTCAGAGGGAACACAGGGGCGTTTGGTCTGAGAGAGGCAGCTCTGGAGGCGGGATGGTGCGGGGGGGGTGGGGGGGGGGGAGTAGCATTGATGCATCTGCTCACTGCGCCCTTGCGAGCGGGATAATGGGAGTGTAGCGTCAATTTCACCGGGAGAGGCAGAGTATCTCCAACCTCGGTTCAGGAAGTGCATTGGCTTATCGGGGGCAAGGGGGTGGGGGTGGGGGGGCAAAGGTGGCTTCCTGTCATTCTTCTGCTGAGTTGGGTTCCCATGAGCGGCCACGCTGAGCCCAGTGTGCCCGGAGCGGAGCGAAGGCAGGTGGAGCGCCGTGCTGGCCCCCGGACACGTCGCTACGACGCGCTAAACGTAGCTACATTCCAGGGTGCCTGGGTCACACGGAACCGGAACCATGCACACCATCCACGGGCTCTGCCGGACCTGCATCGAGCGGACGCTGCCTCAGGTTGGTCCACCGGTAGAGGGGAGCAGGTGGCGGGCGTAAGGGTGGCTCGGCGGGTCGACCCGCAGACCTTTGTCTGTTCCATGGATCCGATCGCCGCCGTTTTGGTTGCGGGCATCGGCTCTGTCTGTTACGGGAGAGGATTATTTATAGATTTTCCAGGGCTCTCAGATGGGTTCCAGGGCCTTCGGTGGAGAGGCTTATTGCTATTCTGTTTTATTGCAATGTTTCTCCTCTTTCTGCGGACAGTGATTAAACTTCCACCTAATTACTAACAAGAAAAATCGCAGCATGACCCTCAGTCATCCTCGGGGGGGGAGGGGGGGTGCACAGTTAATTTATTAATCCTCAACATTGAATTCGGGTGGGGTGGGGGGGACAAGATAAAAGAAGAGGAGGAGACTGGAAATGTGGCAGTAGTACCTGCTGAAAGGTGAGTTAGATGGACACAGCTGGGGGCACAGGGGGCATGGCGGGGTGAGTGTGGGGAAGGAGGGGAACTAGAGGAATGTTTGGGCAGGGAATGACTGCTGCGTTTGGAATCAGGCACGTGTGATTAAGGCGCTCCCAGGAAGGACAGAAGCAGATATAAGTTTCACCTGGTAGAGAATGGTTGTGAGAAGAGCTGGATTCGGAGAAAGGGTGTGAAATGGGTGTGACTTCATGGGAAGGCTTGATAAGGGGCGTGGCTTCCAAGGAGGGCTTGAAAAAGGGGTGTGTCCTCAGAGGATGGTGTGAGAAGGAGTGTGGCTTCAGAGGATGGTGTGACAAGGGGTGTGGCTTTGAAAGAAGGCTGTGAGGGGGGGTGTGGTTTCAGAGGAGGGCTGTGAGAGTAGGCGTGGCTTCTGTTATCCTCACCCTTCATTGCCTGGCTGGGAATCAGACACCTCTACCTCAAATGATGCTCCTGCCAGGAAGAATTGAATGAGAGTTCTTGTCACACTCAGAATAAAGTCTGGGACATTGCGTTCTGAATTCTGCTAGTAATGTTAAATGTGCTTACACCCAGAAACGGGATCCCAAAGATCTAAGTAGTCCGATTTATCCTCTTTAGTAAATCTGTGCTCTGCATTGTTTGTTGTGAGCATGGATTTAATACAAATGAGATCCGCTCCGCCTCAGCCGTTGTGGGTGGGACTTTCCGCAGCAGTGTGTTGACTCCAGTGCAGATGGCATTGACAAATGGGTTTTTTATTTCCCGATAAAACAGTTCAACACGGGTGTGACTCCTCGAAGGCCTGAGACAATTTGTCACCAGATCACGCCGGCATGATTATAAGCTAGAACAATCTCCAATACAGCCGAGAATGTATTAACCAAGAGCTGTGCTTGTGAGGCGCCTCTGGAGGGAAGAGCGAGCCTGAAAATGGGCCTGCATTTGGGCTGACATGGGAAGGACTTCATGTGGTTGCCCAGTCAGCTCTGCATCGTTCCAATACACCCCCCCCCCCAAAAAAAAAATAATGCTGAGATGACAATAACGACTGGAGGAGATTGTTTCCACTTTATTTGGATAAACATAAAATTGTGAGGTGGGGGGTTGGGGGGGCTTTCCCTGTGGTCTGAGCTGGGAACTGACCTCTAGCTACCAAAACTGGAATAATAATTATGAGATTCTGATCAGCTCAGAGCAGGCATGCTGGCGGGATACATCCCACAGACGTGCAGAACGAACGCTGACGCAACTCCTGCGGCTCATTATGGAATATTCCAGGCCCATCCCAGGTTTACAACGGTGCTTCCCAGACAGGGATTGGTGCCTGTGGCATTATGACGTTTCATAATCAGAAGCTGATGGGTTTGAATACCGTAAGGTGAGCGAACATTCTACCTTTTGCGGGCCTGTTGATCGGGAATTGCTGGGATCACTGTATGTTTGTGACGGAAAAGCCACTTTATTATGGGAAAAAATACTGTAACCCATAAGGAACAGAGTGGGTCTGGCAGAGCTGGCAGGAAAGCAAGGTTTGTGTAAGCGAGGCGAGTGTGCGACTGAAAGGATGAACCTCAGTGAGCTGAACGAAAGATGAGCTTTCTGGAACATTCTCCCTGCGCCCACGGTGATCTGAGCCTTTGAACATTGCTGATACAGGATGAGACGGCTGCCAAAGTTGCTGTCTCTTTGGATGCCTGAAGACCCCCACCCCCCAGGCTTGTGAAAGCCAGTCTGAATCTGAGAATCTGTGAAGGCCAAAAGCGAAACACCTCAACCACCTGTGAAGGCCAATCAGAAGATATCTAAAGGTCATCTGTGCCATAAATTAAGGATCTGTGATGGCATCGGTCAGTTAATGCCAGTCTGTGACAATCCTGGTTGGACAATAAGGAGATCTGCATGGCGGGGAGGAGTTGGGGGAATCAGTGACTTTGGTAGGATTTTGGTGCTTAAAAACCTGAGTAAAGACAGCAGCTTTGGTTTTAGCAAAGGAGTCAGGCATGGAAACAAGGTGTTGGCTCTATAGATATGATTACATACTGTTTAATCGCCTGATAGGTGATCTGATTGGCCAGAGTTTTTCCTCGCCCCAATAGGTGGTCTTATTGGCAAGATAGGCGTCCCACCCCAATAGGCGATCTGATTAGCTGGAGAAGCTTCGTGCCTCGATTGGTGATGTGATTGGCAGGATAGGTGTCCTGCCCCGATAGGTGATCTGAGTGACTGGAGAGGCATCATGCCTTGATTAATGATCTGATTGGCAGGATAGGTGTCCTGCCCCGATAGGTGATCTGAGTGACTGGAGAGGCATCGTGCCTTGATTGGTGAACTGGTTGGCTGAACGTGCCTGACTTCTCAGCCCTTATCCTGAGTGCAGCATAGCAGGACTGATCCTTCGCTCTTACCCAACCCACCCTAAAAGCCCAGCACATCAGCTGGCTCTCACGCTCAGCGGGCATGCCGCTGCCCCCCCCCCCACTCCCACTCCCACCAAGGTGCCCCCCACAGCTGCTTCGTTTTCCCAGGGCAGCGTCTTTTCTCCCTCGCCGGCCGCCGACCGCGATGTGACCATGGGGGCCCATCAGTGTCGCCTGGCAGCGGGAAGATTAAACAAGACCCCCCCCATCACTTGGTAGGGATAATGGAGGACTGAGGAGGGGAGCATTACAATAGATGGCTTGGGAAATTATTTAGCGCGATTTAACCGGAGTGAGCTCACCAGTGTCGCCGGGAGACCGCAAAGCGAACGCCTTTTCCCCCTCGATTTTCATTATCATTTATGTGTTTGGCAGACTTATAAAGAGCAGCTTACAAGGGCTGCGTGGTGAGCTACAATGGAGACGGTCAACAGGAGAGCCGAGACTCAAAGTTCAGGCACAAAACGCAATATTTAAGCGAAACCGTGACGAATGGACCGGTTTGTGCTGTGGGACCGACACATATTGGTTTTTCTTTTCAGGCGTACCGGCTTTTGCCTAGTGGATGGATTACGTTGTTAATGCTGCAGTTTAACCGGGCAGTCGCCCACCGCGCTGCCCAGCAGGACGTTCAGGCAGGTCAAACGCCGGTCAGCAGATGGGGGCGGGCGGGGGGGGGGCATGGCCAAGCTGGCACCGCATGGTGACAAGTTAGCCAATGGTGGATTTGTCTCCCACGCCCCCACCAGTGCCCGCTTCCATAAGCTCATTTGTCGTGCCTCTTCGCCCCACCCCTCGCCGGCCCCGGTTTTTTGAGTGGTACTAAGAAGGATCATGGGAAGGGGAGAATCAGCCTGGTATCAGTTGTCGAGTCACAGGAAGGGAGGAATTGTTCACAAGAGTCACAGAGCGGAGAAAAAAAATAGCAGTCGGTCGGGATGATGAAAGGGCTGGACGACATTGGATTTCATTGGACCCAGCTCTTTGTTCTGATTGGATGGAGGGGAAAAGACATTCTGTGGTTAGTCGGGTGACCATGGCTGGCCTAAATGTCTTCTGTGTCTCTGGGAGGGAAATCAGCGCTGCAGGGTTAGCCTTAGCACCGGGTAAGGGGCAGCAGGCGTGTAAGGTGTCGAGAACCCGCTTGGGGCCTGTTTCCTAACTAAGAAAGAGCGGCCACAAGGAGCAGAAGCGATGTGGACAGACTGTAGTGTGGCTGGCTTGAAATGAGGCACTTCCCCAGCAGGCTGGGTCCCATGTCCTTGGCAAAATGGGCCCTTCACTGCCTCTCTTGTTCCCACCCATTCTCCCCGACAGCTGAATAATGCCGCTGGCTGAACTGATGAATTATGGGTCGTGTAATGGGCGGATCGTGCTGCGAGGGTCTTGATGGTGTTAGATGCCGTGTGGCCAGATGGTTCTCGCCTGTGTGTGCCGGTGTGCGGGATTCCTCCCACCTGCGAGGGGTCACCACTACACCACAGTGACCATGCTGCTGTCTGGCTTTCCAGGTCACCATTCTCCGAGGAAAGGATGGCTACGGATTCACCATCTGCTCTGACTCCCCCGTGCGAGTCCAGGCTGTTGACCCAGGCAAGGCTCCGCTTCCTCAGTCATGTGTGTTTGTGTATATTGGTGTACAGAATTCAACAAAACATCCCCACAATTCGCCACTTCTTGAAAAGGAGGCTGAACTGTTCAGATAAATACTGAAAGTCATGTGAATGTTATCAGTCCCTGTCTGAGTCCTGGTGGAGCCGCCGATTGTGTGAGTTACCCGAGAGTCAATGACAAAAGTGAAGTGAATGTAAGAGGGTGTGTGCATTTTCATGGTGCCATGGGGCAGGTCAGCTGATGTGTCTCGCCTGCGCCCCCCCCCTGCCCCCCGACCCTTAGGCGGTCCGGCGGACCGGGCAGGGTTGCGCCAGCTGGACACGGTGCTGCAGCTGAACGGGCAGCAGGTGGAGCGGTGGAAATGCATTGACCTGGCGCATGCCATCAGGTGCGTCCTCGTGCTGATGAGGGACCCCCACCCTGGTTGAACACCTGACACATGTCACATGGGCATCATAAGAAAGGCCATATTCATTCTCCACTGCCTGTATATTTAAGTATTTGTGTGAAGCTTCAGCGACTTGCTTATCTTTTCATCCATTAATTTATTTAATTTTATAGAATTCCTTCCTTCTATACGTCATAGACTTGTCTTGGTTATTGTCTTTATATTTTGACTGAGGGAACCGTGCAAGAATTCCTGTGTACTTGTATTTCCATTCCTGTGCAAAAGAGAAAAAAAGTTTTCAATTCACTTTCAATTCAATTCAGTTCGGTTCAAAGCTTGCCCTGCTCTTCAGGTTACCTGGAGTCCTTGCACCGCCACGACCCCTCAGATCACATGTCATTGTCAGCCTCTCTCATGTCCCCACAGAAACAGTCACAGTGAAATCACGGTGGTGGTTTGGCGCACAGCGCTGGCGGCCAAACCGGCCTTCGAGGGCCTCATCCATAGGCCGTCCTACAAGTCCTCGGGCCATGAGCCCACTTCACCCCCCAGCCAAAGGTGGGACAAGACTCTGCCTGTGCCCCCGCTCCCAGGCCAGCACCGGCAAAGCCGCCGCATGCCGGCAAATGGCTCGGAGGGCAGAGGCGGCCTGTGGGGTTCCTGGCGGGAGAGGAGGAACGAGCCGGATGACAAGGACAGGTCACAGACCCTGAAGGGTGCCCGAGTGACCTCGCCACCGGGGGACAAGAATTACATCATCCTGGCCCCCATCAACCCCGGGAGCCAGGTAACTTGGCAGAACCTGGCTGAAGAAGATAATCATGGAGTTGATGTCAGGCCGACAGGAGTCCCTGAAGCTGCCTTAGGCTAAAACCGCAAGGGGCAACGCAGACAGAAGACTCCTGTTTCTGTTTCATGCAGGAAGTGGAAATGAGGTTAGGGTGGCAGAGAGGTATAGCCGGGCTCAGGCATGCGAGTGTGGGTGTGTCTTCTGGGGAGAAAAAAAACACAAAGTTCCATCTTATCTGATAAGTGGTAAGACCACCCGATCTCACGAAGATGCAATGCATTGTGGGAGGGAAGCGAAAGAATCTGGGTAATAATCCACTTTGTAACCCTGGGACCCCCCTCCCCCCACCCCCATTGTTGCTGAGGCATACAGAAGTCTGACCCATGGCGAGCGTTCGTTTTGTCACATGAGAGTTTTGAGTTTGAGCAGGTGAGGGGGGGCTGATTGTGTCATTAACTGCCTCCTCCTCTCTCTTCCTGTGTCCATCCCTCTCTCAGATTCTGCGGCCTGTGTATCAGGACCGGATCAGCACCCTGGGTGAGCCTTCATCTGTCTGACAGTCCTTTCCAGAAATACCACCCTGCTGATTTTTTTTCCCCTTTCGAGTTTCCATTTTAGTCCATAATCATCCTTGCTGTCTGTGCAGTTTAATGTACGAGCTGCGTTTTCAGTCAGACTGATAAAACGCCTATTCACATTTTACTCATTCTGCAGACACTGTGATCACACCACCCCGTTTTTCCACGCATCACAGACACGACCATTTATCTCGCAATCTGCTGGTCGCCGTCTTTCGTTGTTAGGGTGTCACAAGGGATGAAGAGGAAGCCCCTGCTTACCGGGGTCTTCTTCAGCTGGGGCGGAAGACGCCATCCTATTAAATATACATCAGAAAGCCAGTCAGTGTGTGGTGGCCTTCGGGGAAGGTGGTGCCGCATTTCACATGTTCCACTTTGACAGGCGATATGTAAACACATGCTCTGTAGTGTTTGTTCTTGAGAGAAATATGGAGCCAAATCTAAAGCTGCAGAAGGAACTTCTGCACAGATGCTGAGGCTGCAGTCTCCTAAAAGCAGTAAAGTTAAAGGGAAATGACTGAATGAGTGTTAGTGTCATAATACTTTCATTATGTTTGGACACCTGGAAGTTGAAAATTTACACACAGATCAGGTTTCACAATAAGAGCCCATTACACAGCATTACATGCAAAATAGTGCAACTAGATTTTTAAGCATGGCTAGTCATCAGTCTTTGGTTAAGTTATGCGATTGGTTTGCGGGCTGGTTTTTGGAGTTACAAAGAGCTCAGTTTCACATGGACTCACAGCTGAACATCAAGACACCCAACAGCCAGTAAGCACTGATTAAATGCTTTTAGCCAACTTTTTACCCTACTCCCAAAATTAATTTTACTCCTGATTTCTGGTCGGCTATTTTTCTACAGGGCGGATGTATCAGACGTATCAAACCAGCAGCCACCAGCAGGGCGGCGCTACCCATGAGAGCCCCGGGTTCCCGGGCAGGACGACATTCCTGCGGCGGTCGACCGGCAGCAAGACGTCCAGGACGCTGCCCACCCCCGCAGGCCACCAACAGAACTGCAACTACGCCAACTACCAGAACTGCACCGTCGTCCACTCTCACCTGCCCCATGGCAGCTACAGCACTTACGTCAAGCTGACACCCAAGATACTCATCTTTCCCATTTTCGTCCAGGTCTGTCATCACCCTCCCCCCCTCACCCTTCATCTTTCCTTCACGTTCATCGTGACGTTGACGTGATGATAGCCATGTGTATTTGTGAACTGTTCGTGATCGATATGCGAGCGGTTGTAGTGCAGGACGGTAGAGGGATTTCTGGCAAATTGGGTGCAGGGGTGGGTGGCTGCCTGGGGGGGGGGGGGGGGTGGGGCATTGTGAGAGCAGATGTGCCATTTTAAATAAAACATGCCTGTCATAGTCGCTCCCTTGACACAACGCTGCAATCCCTCTTATTGGACACATAGAATCGCTAATGAACATGCGGATGCAGGCAGGTCTGCCTTCCTTGGTGCCAGATGTTGTCCCTCCAAACTGGGATTTTTTTGGGGGGATGGAGATATATCGAAAGCACTGGCACAGAACTGGCACAGAGGCACAGCTGAGAGATTTAAATCCTCGCTGTTCCTCCTCTGCCTCACATCGTGCCCGATGTGCGCGGACTTTGTTCCGGAGGCTGCAGGGGTAGGCGGTGGATGAAAGGCCAACTGCCTGCTAGTCCCAGCCCCAAAACCAGACGAACCAGAAGCGTCATGCCATAGGCGATGGAAATACATAAAAATATAGCATGTATGCGGTATATAGGAGCGGCATGATGGTATTGAGGCTGGCCATTCGAAGCAGGTATGTGGACGTTCTTCCCTTCCACGCATGAGGTTACTCCGGTTTCAAAAAATGTGGTAAGGCAGATCTTCAGATTGGCCATAGTGTGTGATGGCGTGCAGACTCTAATCGACTTGCATTCCACCCAGTGTGTCCTCATGGCGCCTTGGACGGGCTCCTGCTTTGCTGTGACTCCGCTGGATAAGTGGTTTTGGACGATGGATGGATAGATAATAGCCATTTCACCGGGATACAAACCACAGTCCCACCCAACGAACCTAACAGCCCACAGCTATGGCTACTTGAGTTGATCATCCAGTTGTTAACGAATGCCTTAACAAGAGCCAAGCACAGAGGAACCTTTTCTGAACTTACCTAGGATCTAATCGGGGTGATTCTGGGATTTTTTTAAGTTGAGGAGCCTAAGAGGGGCCATAATTCATGCAGAGGGGCCAACCTTATCATTAGCCAATGACATCGGTGAGTGACAGGGGAGGAATACTACGGGAACCAATCGGCTTTCAGCTCGGGCCAGTGCCCCAGTATACTCCACTGTATCTAATCCCATTTTTGATATTGCTGTATCAATTTCCCTATGCTTAACTTCGAACCCTGGTCTCCGATGTTTAACAAAGTGACCCAAGGCTTAGTGGGCCACCGTGTTGCATCATAACATCATATGCCCTTTGCCAGATTTTGTGACTGGTTGATGTGGTCTGCAATTTTACTGCAGTCCACCCTGCACACAGGCCTGCTCGTTTGCTGAAACGGCCTGCATTGCTGGTGATTAATCACTCACACCTACAGCGACTCTGACCTCATAGGGCGTTTTTTTTTGGTTTCCTTTGCTGTCTTAATTTGCAACAGTGTTAGCGTGAATGCGTGGGTGGTCGTGTCTGCGATTTAGAGGGCAGCGGCCCCGCAGGACGTCACTGCTGTGGTGGTCGCACTTCCTGTTGCACTTCCTGTTGATTGTATGAGATACTGAGAGAAGAAAGAGAGTGGAAGGCCGTCCCTGGAGCCTTGTCTCTCATACGTGGAGGTCTGCAAAAGGAAGTGGCTTCTTTTTTCGCCTTGCATCAGACGGCAAGAGTGACATCCCCTCTTCCCTCCCTCCCCCCACCCCTGCCACTGTAAGTGCTCAGTTTACCAGCACAAGGTGTGTTTTGTAAGCACCGCGCGGAGTATCACTCACTCTCTCGTGTCGGAGCTGGACCATGGACCCCCTGATGAAGATGGCGCTGGTATGCTTGCTCCACATGTTACTCTCTGGATGGGCTTCTTCTTTGGGATCTCTGCCGTCCCGGGTGTGATGGTGTGGTCACCCTGGTGTGGGGCGTGTGTGATGTGTGTGTGTGTCTTGGGAGGGGTGTGCGATCAGTACTAACTTCCCCCCCTGCCCTGTACAGCCCCTGGACCTGTGCAACCCGGCGCGGACTCTGCTGGTGACTGAGGAGATGATTTTACATGAGAGCAAACATCTGTCCATCAAGGTAACAGCATGAGAGTGTGGGATGCTGTCTGTGTGTGTATATGTTACTCTCTGTGTATGTTACTGCTCTGTGTGTGTATGTTACTGCTCTGTGTGTGTGTTACTGTCTGTGTGTGTGTGTTACTGTCTGTGTGTGTATGTTACTGCTCTCTGTGTGTGTGTTACTGTCTGTGTGTATGTTACTGCTCTGTGTATGTTACTGCTCTGTGTATGTTACTGCTCTGTGTATGTTACTGCTCTGTGTGTATGTTACTGCTCTGTGTCTGTATATGTTACTGTCTGTGTATGTTACTGCTCTGTGTGTGTGTTACTGTCTGTGTATGTGTGTGTTACTGTCTGTGTGTGTGTGTTACTGTCTATGTGTGTATGTTACTGCTCTGTGTGTGTAAATGTTACTGTCTGTGTATGTTACTGCTCTGTGTGTGTGTGTTACTGTCTGTGTGTGTATGTTACTGCTCTTTGTGTGTGTGTGTTACTGTCTGTGTGTGTATGTTACTGCTCTTTGTGTGTGTATGTTACGGTCTGTGTGTGTATGTTACTGCTGTGTATGTGTGTGTGTTACTGTCTGTGTGTGTATGTTACTGCTCTTTGTGTGTGTATGTTACTGTCTGTGTGTGTATGTTACTGTCTGTGTGTGTATGTTACTGCTGTGTATGTGTGTGTGTTACTGTCTGTGTGTGTATGTTACGGTCTGTGTGTGTATGTTACTGCTGTGTATGTGTGTGTGTTACTGTCTGTGTGTGTATGTTACTGCTCTTTGTGTGTGTGTGTGTTACTGCTGTGTGTGTGTGTGTGTGTGTGTGTGTATACTACTGCTGTGTGTGTTACTATCTGTATCTGTGTTGGTGGTCTGTGTTTGTTTGCCTCGGTTTGTTGCTGGTCTATTGGCGCTTTTCCACTGCCACCAAGAACTGATCTGTACCCGAGCTGTACCACAGACTGGTGGTTTTCTATTATGTATTACATATTAAGTATGCGAGTTGTACCCGTACTCGCGCCGACACGACCCTGCTGACCAGCAGGGCCGAAAGTGTGACCGAACCTGTCTGGTTGCATCAACACCATGTAATTGGTCAAAATGCACAGAAATACCAGTGGGTTTCTGTGCATGGATTATCTGAAGAAGATATACTATTCATTATTAGAAGTATGACATATCGCGATGCACTGGTACATTCTCGATAACTCAGAACCTGGAAGTTTCCAACCTCCTATTTAAAAAGGTACTAAAGAACAGCTAAATGGAATGATTTGTAATGCAAATTTACACAAGCTAATGCTAGTTTCTCTAGTGTTTGATGCTAAGATAACATGGTGATTCGTGCTAGCAGAGAGCAGTACATAGGAAATCATGCTGTACACTGTGTGAAGAACAGGCTTGCCGACTATCACGCATCTGGCGTGACACTCTCACTTTCAGACTCACACTCATGCAGGAAATCTTACGGCAGACCTACATTATTCCATTATAAACCTAAAATTAGGCACATCAAAAGCATTGGTGCAGTTTGCAAACCCTACACAGTAACTATTTACAGTAATGAAACTCTTACATACATGTAAATGCGTGTGCAGAATTGTCTCGAATTGAAAATGTCACGCCAGACCAAATTTGGCAATGCTCTCTTGATTAAGCGGCTCTTCAGTCACCATCGCTCTCCAAACCCGGCAATGCCTTTACTGACCCACCCCCCCCCCCCCGGCAGTGGAAACCGAAGCAAGCTGGAACTGCACTGTAACCAGTGTCTCTTTGCAGTACGGCTCGGATGCAACTCAGGTCCTGTATGCCAGTGGACGAGTGCCATAAGTCTTAGTGATCTGAGAGTGTGTCTGTGTGTTACTGGTCTGTTTGTAGGTGTGTGTATGTGTGAGTGTGTGCTCTCTTTTCCTGTGTGTGTGTGTGTGTGTGTGTGTGTGTGAGTGTGTGCTCTCTTTTCCTGTGTGTGTGTGTAGGTGTGTGTGGTCTCTGTTTGTTGTATCACTGAGGAATTCAGGCCTTCTCATCTCCCTGCCGCTGTGCGATGCATGAACACAGCAGAGCTGAAAGTGGCAGAGAGCCAGAGCCATGACCTATATTAAGCACCCCTCACTTTACACTCCTAACAGCACAATCATGTGTCTGGGAGGTGGGGGGGGGCATTGCTAGGCTCCCACGCTGCACGCATGGGCGGCAGCCAGTCACTGTGACACAGCATCATCATGGGTGGGGTCTTGTGCTCGCTCTTGCTAACGAAGCTTTCCTTTTATGGGGGAGATGGCAGAGGCAGACTGTAGGACACGGGCTATGGAGAGCCCCCCCCCCCAGTAATTCTTTTGGTATGGTACTTTTGTCACTTCCCTTTTCCACTGACTTAAATTTCAGTACCAGTACCAAAAGTTCCAGTACCTAAAGTACCAAAGCGGTTGGGGTGGATCGGTTATGCAAATAGCCTGCCTGTGAAGCACAATGCAACCACCATCTTTAAAAAAAAATTATAAACTCAGAAAACAATGATAAATCAAGTTTTTAAAAAAAGTAATAATAATGTACAGAGACAAACAGAAACCCAACCTTTAATTGCGATCTGGCCGGAAAAACAGATACAACAACATTAAGATGGCACGACAAGAAATAAAAAAGCATTTGCTGTACTATATTATAGGAAATTCAGATATTGCAGTGTGATTTTGTTGCAATAAATACTGGGATATTTATAAAGCAGGAGTTCAAAAGAAATTTCTCACAAATCTATGTGTGATTTAAACAGCAAGGATAACAATGATTATGATTGTCTTGGAGAATCTGCTTGGAAAAGCAGCGGAGGTAAACTTTAAACTTATTTTTAACATATGCTAGATAATCCTGAAAAGGAACTATTTGTAATGCTTGCAAAGTTTTGTTTCCCATGACAAAGTAAAAATGTTTTAGCAAAACTTAAACCCCCCACACTATAATGCAAGGATAGTATGATGGTATGAAAAAACTTGATTGTAACCCAGCTATCACAGTCCTTACGATGTGAGAAGTCCTCACACATTGCCCAGCACTATAATACAGACCGACTACAGCTGTTTTTTAAATCCACTACAAAATTCCCCGCCTGCCGTTGTGATGTCATTTAGCGGTGGTATCAGTTTTTACAGTATTCAGTCCAACTCAAGGAAATCATGCCAGGTTCACGTCCTGGGACTCGAACACACAACCTCCTGGTTTCTGATCATTTTTGTAGCCCACACTATGCTGTCTGGCACTGAAATGTGATTCCTCTAATGCTCCGTGGCGTTGAAGCACTGCTTCCTCGTTGCTGGCATCATGCCACTTCCAGGCCCAAAGCCATCTCTGGGTCAGCCGCTATGCTAAGGACTGAAAACCCTGCTTCACAATATTCCGTGGAAACTTTGCTCCCTAGTCCACTCCATACATAATCATAACTCATCGTTTATCCGTTTGTAAAGACTGCTTACAAGTCAGAGCTCAAAAACCACTGAACAATGTTTGCAGTCCTTGCTTTATATTCATAAGGTAAATACAGAGAAACAAGCTAACATGCTAACTGCTTGTGGCACCATTCACATGTGAAGTTGTATTTATATTTTAGCACATTAGTGCTGGGCTGTAAATAAGAGTGAGAAGGGTGTAGCTTAGCAGGATGATTTTGTTTGAACTGGTCTTCAAGGACGGGGTGGTGAATATGTATGACTGTCACAGGCAATGCCCAGTTAACAGGCTAATCTGGGCTATAACCCAGGGCCCCAAATTGTTAGGGGCTAAAATTTTATTTTCCAGTTGATATAGCAGCATTGTATGCTATAGGTTAAGGCCCCAACGGTGCCAGGCAACCAGCATCACCCCCCCCCCCCACATCCCGCTTACCTCACTGACCTTAGCTTAGCTACTCCGTCCTCATGCCCGCTGGTACACTCCAGCTCACATGGCACGCCTGAAAGGTGCCGGTAAGCAGGGCATCGTGGCATGGTGTTGTTTTTCAGCACATGTTTTTTGGAAAGAGAGACTGAGTGGGGTGGCCATTGTGATAATATTATATAAAGGAAACCGGAGTTGGACTGGGGGTGGGGGGATTAGCTGGGAACTTGCAGCGATAAAATACCTTACCTTGTTTGTTCCGCTTACCCGCTATTATTCTGACATTCCACATCTCCCAACGGCACACGTTTGCAGACATCCCTGACTGACAAGCAACAGTGAGAATACATCAGCGGGGGGGGGGGGCGTGTTGTAGTTTGAAAAATGTTGTCCGCGTGAGTCTCTTCTCCTGTCTGCTTTTCATGCTGTGGATGGAACACTCTCTGTGTTTTTAACAGCACTTTAGTTCTCGCTCCCTCTAATGAGGCAAACTTTCAGCACAGCCATGAAAGAGAGAGGAGATCCAAACTTTTGGTGTCAGTGCAACATAATGGAGAATAAAAAAAAGAAACAAAAGGTACGTCAGGTGGAGCAAGGATTTCGTCCACATTATAGCACTTGCACAAATAGGAATACTATCACAGCAAACGAGCAATTTGACAAACAAACAGGAATATTATCACAGCAAACGAGCAATTTGACAAACAAACAGGAATACTATCACAGCAAACGAGCAATTTGACAAACAAACAGGAATACTATTACAGCAAATGAGCGATTTGACAAACAGGAATACTATCACAGCAATCTAGCGATTTGACAAACAAACAGGAATATTATCACAGCAAACGAGCAATTTGACAAACAAACAGGAATATTATCACAGCAAACGAGCAATTTGACAAACAAACAGGAATACTATTACAGCAATCTAGCGATTTGACAAACAGGAATATACTATCACAGCAAACAAGCGATTTGACAAAGAAACAGGAATACTATCACAGCAAATGAGCAATTTGACAAACGGGAATACTATCACACACAAGAATACTACCACAGCAAATGAGTACTTTCAACAATTAATAGGAATACGACCACATACAAATGAGCACTTTCACAGTGTACTGGAACAAATAAGAGCATTTTCACAAACAGCAAGGTGCTTATTTAATAGGTGCTTAAATAACGTTAATAGTGTGAGGTACAGTAAGAGTGAAGCGACACAGGGACTCCCTTGTCTACATTATCACTCTGCAGGCTGTTATTTTCTGGTCAGTGTAGCTCGATAAGTAAGGTGAGGCACGTGACGGACACCACGGCCAACAACCCTGACCCTAAGCCTAACCCTAAGCCTTCTACAGACGTCCACCAATCAGGAGCCACACCAGTGTGATGGGGGCGGGCCGCTCTACTGAGAAATCGTGCCTTGGAAAGCCCCGACTTTGTCACGCTGCTGCCACCTCCACCCCCTTCTCACCCCACCCTTTTGTGTCTGCATGCGCCAGCCACAACAAAGACCTCTATGCCTCTAATGCCGAGTGGTGCACGCTCTTCTCTGACTCCGCGCCTCTCCTCTCCCTTTGGGGGGAGGGGTGTACGGCGAGATGCCTGCCAGTCGCTGTGGGCTGCCGGGGGGCTGATCTGGGCCTGGCCGGGTCTGAGGTTTGACTGTATTTGACGATGTGTTGAGTGATCGTATTTTATGGCTCGGTCTTGACCAGGTGGTCAGAGTTTCCTGTTTCACCAGGGGCCTCACAAGGCTCTGAATTGCTGCTTCGTTTTCCGCCAGAACCTGCCAGAATCTTATCTGCTAGAGCTGCAAGTTTATATTACAATTTACGTTACGTTTATTTAGCAGATGGCCGTTTTTGAGGGTACAAGGTCAGACAGTGCCTGGAGCAACTGGGGGCTAAGGGTCTTGCTCGAGGACCCAACTGTGAAATTCTCCGCTCATCCTGGGATTTGAACCAGCAACCTTCTGATCCCTTGCACAGCGTCCTACTTCACTGAGCGGCACATTGCCCCGCCATCACAGGATACGTTTCCCAATAGCTCCCCTTAGCAACTAACATAGTTGGAACCATTCAGTGGATTGGTTCCAACTTTCTAACTATGCTTCTGGGGAACGTGCATACAGATGATTTGCTGTTTTCTGCTGACAGGCAGGATTACATCTGGCTTGCGTGAAATATTCATGAAGGTTTTGCGGCCTGGTGACAGAGGACAGCGGGGATGTGTGTGTGTGTGTGTGTGTGTGTGTGTGTGTGTTTTTGAGAGAGAGAGAGAGAGAAGCCAGAGTTCCCTAGGGAGCATTGAAGGGTGAGCTGGAGGCACAGGAGTGAACCTCCCTGTCCGTGTGGAACAATGGGCTTTTCTTGTCCCTCATTGTTTGTTCGTCCACTGACAAGAGACAAGAGATGAGAGTCGCTGCCAAGAAGTGGCTCTCGAACAGGCCAGGAAGGAAGCCCTCTGTACCGTTACCTTCTCCACTCTGCCTCTGCCACCCCGCACCGTCGCAAAGGAACTCCCGTTCCGAACTCCCATCTGAACTAGAGACACAGACAGAGAGAGCACATACAAGCAGTTTGGAGCAACAGTTATTCCATAAGATGAGATTTGAAGCAGCAGAATGGGCCCAGTAGCTTGATGGACAGTTTGTGTGACTGTCAGACCAGGAAGGGTCACCAGGTACAACGGCAAAAAGTAACACACACACAGTGTCAGACAGATCCTAGGGGGCGGCTGCCCTCCTTGTGCTGCCACATTTCTGAATGATGCCCACCTTGTGTGTCTCCCCCTGCAGGTGACAGTGTTCATCTACACTGACTTGATGCTGGTCACCAGGGAGGATGAGCCCGGCCGCTGTAATGTGCTGCAGAACCCCCTCTTCCTCAAGCACCTCCGGCTGCGCGAGGGTGAGTGGGCCTGCCGCCCAGCTCCGCAATGCTGCCGCCACATTCTGGAATGTTCCGCAGCCGCCATGGAATATGTGTCGATGAGTGCAGGGTTATGCAGGTTTCAGTGACTCTGAGTGTAAAATCAGTTAATATCGTTGTGGATCCAGATGGGACAAGGCTGATGTCAGCACTGCCCAGATAGATCTATCATCTGTCATAAATTGTCATTTTTACATTGCCTTTATTCAGCGGATGTGATCCAAAGCAACATTCATTTTTAAGAACACAGAGTCAGCTTGACCCTGGGACAATTGCGGATTATGGGTCTTGTTTAAGGACCCAGCGGTGAAATCAGTTCTGCTGACCAGGGGTTTTGAACTCGCAGCCTTCAGATCACAGACAAAGCACCCGGACCCCCCCACCCCTATGATTTTGTTGTTTTTTAAAATCAGATACTTATTTTAAAAAAATTTGGCAATATTGTGAAATGGATATTTAATGGCCATCTGACATGCTGCACACACAGTAAAATCTGCCCTTTATCTCCATAAGGACCTTCACACAGTAATTGTTGTTAGAGGTCGTCAACATTTTTCTTGGCCCAGTTTGTTGTCCTGTGCGACCTAGCGGGTTCCTATAAATAAACACCAGGGTGCCAGTCAGGCATAGGCGTGGGGGCAGATCAGACCCAGCAGTGACGCTTTCAGCCTGGAGGGTTGGGGTCCAGGCTGGATAATAGACCACGTCACCCTGAATCATGATCCCCGAAGGCCTGGAGTCCACATGTGTGGTGAGTGAGTCTCTCCAGGGCTGAAATAGCGTGGAAATGATGGGTTATCTGGAGGGCTGAGTGTCCCATTGCCGTCCCCGTAACTGGTAAAGACCCCAGACGCTCAGGAGCGACACTGACAAAGCAGACGTGTCAGGTGGTGGCTGTAGCTGTGCGGCTTTCACAGATCCATGCAGGGTCTGGAGACGCCATGTCCTTTTCACGCTTTTAACCCTCTGATCAACAATGAGTGCTGGGACCCACCCCGTAACTCAGGCACGTACCGAAGGCCTGTCACTCATCACTGCCGACTCCTTAGACTTTGCGCCGAGGTGGGGTATGTGGAGATGTTTAGCCACAGGTTCAAGCTCAGATCAGACTCCTCCATGCTCCCGGTGCCAAACGAGGGCCATCCCCTATTTTAGGAATATCCGTAGGGGAAGATGCGTTTGATTTACTTTGTTCCCTGCGCATGGGGTTAGCTGGCGGGCTGACTGAGAGGTCTTTTTTCTCTCAGGTCTGCTCTGTCCCCAATGCAGGTGCGAAGCAGTCTTGAAACTGTCAAGCTTGCTTGGTCTCCACTGATTTTGTGACTGTGCAGAACATCTGCAAAGTGCATAATACATGAAAACGTCGTCAGAAACTCAAACCCTTGGCGCCTTCGCTGAGTGGAAGGGGGGGGGCTTCCTGCTTATCTCACCACCTGCCCGTCACAGTGGGATTCGAGCTGCATCCCACCTGTGACTCGCATGGTCAATGGGGTCGGGAGGGGGCGTGGGAGCACCCTGCTGGCTTGGAGTGGAACTATTGGTCAGTGGGGAAGGGGGCTATGGATTCGCACCCCTCATTGTTTTTGCTGCACTCCCCAAGGATGAAAGAGGCGCCAAGACTGGGTGTTGGTGTGTGCCGGGGCTGGGCTGGAGGGGGGGGGGGATTAGTGTCTGTCTCAGCAAGGACTGCAGCACTCGTGTGGATGGGAGCCGCAGTGTCTCACGGTGGTCAAAGGTGTCAGCAGTCTGAGTGATTGTGGGGTTCTTGTGTGTGTTTGAATAGGAGAGAAGTTTTACGGAAACACACCCTTCAGAAAAGCTGTAAATGCTGATATTACTAACCGCGCATCCTGTCCAGGCTTATGTGATCAGAAAATTATCAGGAATTCTTTTATATAGCCTCAAGGAGTAGGGAACCTAGTTAAGAACAGAGAGTACAAATACAGTAGATTATTATGCTAATCAGTGCGGTAAAGCTCAAGATGAAGCTGGGATGTTAACTTGACATCTCTGCTCTGAGGTCTTTGTGCCAAAGCAGTACAAGGCTACCCTCTGCTGGTGAGCTGTAAGAAGTGCCATACCTGGATTTGATGGGGAATATTTTAAAGGACACTTCCTTTAGGACAGGGGTGCCTGTCTTAGGAAGCACAGCACACATGGCAGCCCTGGACAGGATACCAGGACATTATGCATTTTCATTTTAGCAGTTAGCATTAGCATCGTGATTGAACCACCGCATGGTTGCCCGGGACACAGCTGTATGGCCGAATGCGTGGCATGTCAGAGTTAATGACGCACCTGGGATGAGGTGCTGGATGCCTATGGTGTGGGAGAAGCGGTGAAGTACAGCTGGCCCACGAGTCAGGTGTTGGCCGGTGTCACAGTGGTTGGGTCATACAGGTACTGTGGTGGACAGACGGGTTTAAATGACCCCTTTAAGCCACCTGTGCATTTCGAACTTTGTCAATGAGAAATGCAGACCCCTTACAACATAATAGCTTCGAGTTCTTTTTTATGATTACAAAGTGCTGTTTCTAATGTCACCTGCATAGTGGTTACCACTGCAGCCTCATAAGCAGTTATTCATGGATGGATGAACATTTATGCTGTGCTGGTGAAGTTTTACCCAATATTTAATAGGAGTATACATAGAATAACAATACTTTATTAATCCCTGTGGGGGAAATTCTATTTTCGCCTGTCCCAGCTTGCTCTCCATGAGACACAAATACAGGTGAGAGCAGGTTTGTGGGGGGGGGGGGGGTCAAATCGAATGAACGGCCAGTTCTCAAGGTCGGGTGGCCCCAGAGGCCCCATAAGCCGCTTCTCTGGAACAGCATGAATGATGCAGTGGGCTTCGGTCAAAGATGGTGGCTGGAATCTGCGAATTTCCCAAACATCCTCTCGTGGTCTGATAGGCGTCTAACCAGGGGCGACTCTTGGATATTTTAAGATGGGGAATCGTGAGATAGGCCATGATTCATACAGAGAGGCCAACCTTATCATTAGCCTATGATATGTTTTGAATCCATGAGTGACAGAGGAAGGGGCACTCTAGGACCAATCAGTTTTCAGCTGCAGCCAGTGCCACTCTGGCCCCGCCCCTGCATACACCCCTGACTAGCTGTAACTCTGCTGGGAAGAACGCAGTCCAGTCTGCCACGGGGAGGACAGATGAATGAGGCGAATACATGTTTTCATTTGTCGGGCAGAAAGAAGCAGTAAATGGTGGAGCATCAATGAACTTTCAAGCCGAAGTAGGCTGCGTGGTAGCAAGTGGAGCGCAAAGCGCTTTTGGCATCAGGTTAATTAACGAAAGGTGGATTAATTTAGCATATGGTGTGTGCTGATTAAAGTTTTAGGGGTGAATGATTTCATTTTGTTATAGTCAGAAGTCTGCCAGCTGGGATCCCGTCTGACCTCAGAGATAGTGCTAGATGATAACATCTGTTTGGAGTGGTTTAAACTCCTGTATGAGGGCGATCCTCCTCTCTGACGCCAGTGTCCCACCGGCTGTGTCTCCTTGGTAGGTTCACTAAAGACCAAGGGGCACTGGCCCCAGCTGAGAGCTGATTGGCTCCCAGAATGCCTCTTCTCCTGTCACTCATCGATTCAAAACATACCATTGGATAATGATAAATTATGACCCTTGTTATGCCACAGATTAAAAATCCTAGAATTGCCCCTGCTAAAGACATTTAGAGACTAAAACAATGCTTCAGGGTTTTTCACAGTCAAAAGGGCAGCATCTGGGTTTTCACCCAGACTCATGATCTTACAAGATCTCCTTTTGATTGTGTCGTCAGAACACTGGATCCCTGAGTATCATGTCCAATGGGAGTAAATCATTTAAATGGTGAGCCTGAACACTTTGCCTGCTGCTCTTCTTCAATTCAACCTCCAGCTCGACTAACACGGCACGACTTTTCCCGCTTAGGGTCCGTACACACGATCCACACAGGAAATGAAACCGGAACCGCACACTGGCTAGAGCCGGGCCTGGGTTTCCCCGCTTGCGCAAAGCTGCTGCGTTTTATACCCCTAATTGGGGATCCTGAATATCTTCTTTTTTGGGCAAGAAAGCCAAGAGAGAGTGGTAAAAAAATGAACGTGCCAGTAATTTGTCTGCTCCGCTAAGATGAAACAGAATTTTATACGGCACACGCCGATGCAAAATTCATGATCCGTGGAGACGGGGAATCGATGGTGGAGAAAGTTTTTAGGGAAACAAGGAGGAGGATCACAGGAGCAGACCGTGGGCTGCACATGTGATGGAGCCCCTTTGAAGGCGGGAGGGTGGGGTGCGGGGGCGGATTGGGGGTCGACAAGAGAAGAAAAAAGAACAAAGCATAATGCTAAGGACAGGCTCCTTAATCAAAGGTTCCTCGGGATCTAAAGGAGGAATCCAAGTTCCTGAGGGGATTCCTTATATGACAATCCATTACTATTGATGCAAACTTATGCTAGGCTTAAACCGAAGTGAAAAGTTCAGGTCCAGAAAGCACAAATCCAGACCAAGATTTTGTTTCTACTAACTAGTTGCGTATAAAGAGTCAGTCACAGAATACGCAACTGGTTAGTTGGAACAAAATCTTGGCCTGGATTTATACTTTATGGACCTGAACTTTTCACCTCTGGGTTTAAAAATAAATGAATGAAAGCAGCACCATGAAGAGAAGGGCAGATGGGTTAGTTTGAGGACACAATGGTTGTGTCTGGAGGGGACAGAGCACCATATTACCCCCCCCTCAAACAACGAGACCCCACCATGGGATCCTCTCAGATTCCCTCCAGCACCTGGGGAGGGTGCAGGCCTATCCCGGATATTGCCATTCCCCTGCCTTAAAGGGCTCAGTTTCTTTGTAACAATGATAACGTGAAAGCCTTTCTGATAGATGGAACATTCTGGAACATAACCATAGACAGTCATCTCCCACAACTGCATCCTCACTTCACACAGCAGCGGGGCATAAACCCAAAATTTCACGGACACTCCATCCGTTGGAAGTACGTGAATGTTCCTAAAATGTCGACCATAATCAGGGTGAGTCGATACGTGTAGAATTATCGATAGATATCAAGCAGCAGGCATTTACAGGAGCGTTACCTTCAAGTC